CGATGTACCATGTAAACATTTAACATTCTACCCGGCCGATTGTGCCCGGATTGATACTTTGCTTTTGCCTTTTATCGGTACAGAATGCAACAACCTCGATTATTTGAAATCTGATTGTTGTTGACCGGTAGAACCGCGACCTTCTTTGTTGAATGCCTTCACCTTGATGATCAACTTGAATGAGTTTGACTGGGTAAAGTACCGCCCGGTGAAATTTCATTAGACCGGTTGAACTCCAACTTTTTGCTTGCCTCTTGATAGACTCCTGTCGGTATAACTTGCTTCTTGCTCTTGGGTATCTTCATCTTGGTGGTCAACTTGAAAAAGTTTGACCGGATGAACCTTATTTTGTCTCCTTTTTGCACTTTGCCCTCTCTTCGTTTTGACCGGTAGACTACGGTATGACCGGTAGACTACTTTGTCTCCTTTTTACCACTTTGCCCTCTCTTCGTTTTAAGCGCAGTTTGACCGGTAAGTTCCCATTTTATGGTATGACCGGTCAACTGCTCTGCCTTGTAGAACTTTCGAAGTTCCGTTGTATTAATTTTGATTTGATTGAAATAGGTTCTGATCTAATTTTATTTGATTGTAGTTATATTTATGATTATTTGTAATCGGATGCAGGGGCAGATCTACATGTACGAATACGGGGGCAGTCGTCCCCAGTCAATTTTTTTACTTCATAATATACAGTTTTAAAATAATTTTTTTGTAGAGAATTAAAAGAATGACCTCAGTAAATAAAATTAGTTTTCCCCTACTGAGAGAAGAAAATCTTAGTTTAAAAGTAAAAATAATCACTTAAAAACATATACATGTAAAATATTTGAAATTTTATAATTAAATTATGTTATGGTATATTTTATATTTTATTTTTCTACTTTAAAAATATTTTTTTTTATTTGAATACTTGTTTGAAATTGAATTTATTTATTTTTTATGATTATCAAACGGTTTAAAAATTTTGAGAGTGCCGCCCCCAAACCCCGCCATACTCTTTAGTCTGTATTTGCCCCAGTCATATATTTTTCTGGATCCGCCACTGATCGGATGTAACCCGATTCAATAAAAATAAGTAATAGTCAGTAATAAGAATCAATTGACGAGAACGATCTTTAAATCTCTACTCCTTCTCTTCCTGCAAAAATGCTAGGAATCCACCTCGCGTGACCCCACAGATAACAATCAAATATGAATTACAACAATCGTATGTCAAAACAAATAATTATGGTCTGTGTACGTATAAAATCACCCGTGGTTGTCATGGGTGAGGTCAATGATAGTGGGTTCCTAGGTAACATGACCCTCTTCCAATCTTTTCATCAAAGCAAAGCATGATCTTCTTTCTACAAAATCGTTTCCTCTAATATAATTCAGAGTTCGGACAAAATAAAGTCCAACAATATATAATCACATATGGCGTGTTTATTGCGTGCAGAATATTACAGATTATGCAGAGTCAGTTGTTAGTGAGATAGTGGTGAACCTCAAACGCCTGCATGAATTGGGAGTTGGGAGAGTGAGTGTGATCAACGTGCCGCCGTTTGGATGCCTTCCCAAGAATGCCACCACTTCTGCCCTCTGCAACGACACCATTAACTCGTCATCGGAGCTTCACAATCGATTGTTGAAGTCCGCTGTGGAGAAACTGAACAGTGATACTCGTCGTGGGCGATCCACTTTTCTGATTCTCGATCTCTACTCTGCATTCATGTCTGCCTTACGAGGTACTCACCACTGCACCCCCGCCCCGTTAGTTACAACACTTGATTATTGAAGTTATTTTTTTGTTTGTTTAATTTACTTAAAACATGGTGTGAAAGTAAAGAGAATGATTCTTTGAACATTGGAATCCAGTGTCACATGCATGTTATAATAACGCTTATTACTCCTTTCGGAGTCCTTCCCCGCATGATGCTCCCTTTGAACCCGGACATGTTCTTACCTCCTACCCGTGCGTGGCAAACCTCCATCTATCAGAGCTAGTCTTATATTACGTATTACGTGATCTTGGAGCGAGTACACTCGTAAAATGTCCCGAGTTTTTCTATTCATGAACTACTCTACCTTTGTTGATAAACATTTATGGCGTTTGATCGCCAACATGCAGGGAAGAAATCATCAAGTTTTGACAAGGGATTGGGAGAGTGTTGCAGAGGGACAACAAGCGGGTCGAGCTGCGGGGATGTTGACAGAGACTCTGGAACAAAGAAATATGTGGTGTGCGAGGATCCCAAGCGTTCCTTCTTTTGGGACACAGTCCATCCTTCACAACAAGGTTGGCTTTCTGTTTTTTCGGTTTTGGCACCTTCTCTCCACACCTTCCTCTTCCCTCTTCCTTCACCGGACGGCTCTTCATCTGCAGCTATTTAACCATGATATTCATATTCACATTATTAGTGAGATAATATTTTATTTTTTTTAAAAAAAATTTCTTTTAAATAAATATAGTACTACAAATTTGTGTCAGAATGTCCATGGGAAACTTATGCTCTTATTTGTGATGCATATATATATATATGCTTGTAAGAACTAGAGAAGTTTAAGCGCTCTACAAGAGAATCCTTTGCTTATTTATTAAGTGATGCTATATATACTTGTTTCCAAAATTTTCACCACTCCTTCACATCATATACTCGGTCTGTCCGAAAATTATCTTCCCATTTGATTTTTTTTGTCAAAGTTTGTGAACTTTGACATTGATTTATGGAAAAATACATTGTGTTTCGGCATAAATATAGTATCAATAGTTTCCTTATGAAACGTAATTTTGAAATATTAAATTTTCACAAAATATATCCATACATAAATGTACGTAGATATTGCTTAAACTAAGCCAATTTTTTTTTATACTTTGAACTTTTTCTTCCTTTGATTTCATGGTAAGCCTAAGATCTACACCATTTTTTTTCAAAGAAAAAAATCCTTCTTTTTTTTTAAACTTAAAATTTTCTCCTTTTTAAATAACCTTGGAAAATTGGATTAATAATTTTGTTTCACATCAACGTGTGATTTAGCAACGTGTGATTTAGATCGCCCGATCCGCTGAGTACATGTTAGTGTATAATGATGCTATTACTAAAAAACTAAACCAAATTTATTTAACTTTCTTACTATTGTGTCTTCCCTGATCCGCTGAGTACATGTTAGTGTCTGATGATGCTATTGCTAAAAACTGAGGCAAATTTATTTAATTTTCTAACTATTGTGTTTTTCCAATTTTAAATTTGCATTAGAAATTATAGATTTTACATGAATTATATTTTTTCAGTTAACTATGCAATAGAATGATTTAAAACATGCCTTGCGAATTGTGGTGAACAAGCCAAAAATTTTCCTTGTTCTCCCCCTCCAATTTTTACTTTCATTTTAAATTTTTTCGTTTTCTCCTCTTTCTTCGTTTCAAAAAATTTACTCTCCCATAATAGAAATTTATTCATCAAATTCCGACCACAATTTTACAAAATGCAGTTGAAGAGGCCGAATCCCTCTTGGGTTTGGTCTACCATATTTGTTTTGTTTCCTTGTTTGCCTCTTTTGATTTATTTCCTATTAGGATAGATATTCTTTTCGTCTCCTATAAATAGAGGTATTTGTATTAGACATAACAGTTACATATACAAAAATATTTTCCCATATTATTTTTTTTACATGGTATCAGAGCAAGTTTCTGAGACCTCACGAAACGAATCGTGAAAGCTCTAGCGATCCACGACCGACCGAATTGCAGCATCGAAGATGACCAACGAGAAGAGCAAAAATCCCTTCTCCAAAACTCTTAACGAAGGAGAAGACAATGACGGGCAGTTTACAAAATTTATACTAAGATTTAAGACTAATAAAAAACTAAAAAATTCATTCTATAACAAAAGAAAATAACCGTAGTATATAATTCATTTTATCCATAACGTATCAAAATTAATTAAAGAAAGAAAATTGCGTACCCAATCATGAATGAGAACTCTTTGTTAGACCAAATCGCCTTTAGCACTTATATATAAAGGACATAAAATCCAAACTTAAAATCATGTTATTAAAAAATATTAGAAATACAATTTTTCTTATGATGATGTGGACATATACCCACCTCGAGGAGAATACTACCTCCGTCCCATTTTAAATTGTCTGTTTGCCTTTTTTCTCCGTCCCAAAATAAGTTGTCTGTTAGTTGTTTTCGTAAACTTTTAAAAATAAAATACCTAAACTACCTCTAAAATAAGTCAATCTTCTCCACATTATAATCTCATTCATCATCATCCCTTCTAAAAAGTATTGCCAATTTCGAAAAATCAACTCTATTTTTAATTTTTCTTAAATATGCCCAAAAGTCAAAACGGACGATTTAAAACGGAACGGAGGGAGTAATAAATTTCGAAATGCATGAAGCATTCTTTAAATAAATTAAACAAAAAATTCAAATGTGGGCAATGAGTTCCCCATGGTTCAAGCACTGCATCATTTTGCAATACAAGCTCAATGTTTGGAAGGAAAAAAACTGTATAAAACATCATTATCCATTAGTATTAAATGGAACTTCAGCTCCCATCTCCAAATATATTAAATACAAAAAAAGAAACAAAATTTACCAGGGGAAACAACTTGATTTAGTAGAAGTTTTGGCATAAAAACACTTGAATATATAGCAGCAAACAATCCCAAGAAGCTTGAATCCATCAATCTGTCATCTCAGGTCATGATTTCTCTGACCAGCCAATCTAAGCTCGGATACGCAAAGTACAAAATGAGAACCGATGGAAGAGCAAACACAACGGTGATGAGCAAATAGAGGGCCAATATTGCTGCACTGGCGGGTATGGCGTACAGGAGGATCAGAAGGAATATAATCACCAGTGGGAACTTGGCTGTCAGATGAATGAAGAAGACCAGTGATTTCCTGATTGAAGAATGTAGTCTCTCAAGAGTAAGAAAGCCATCCGGATGACTTTGATCACGCCGTGATCGTACTGGTTCTGAAAGGTCAGTGTGTGAGGCCCTCCTGAAACTGGGCTCGATAGAAGAATTTCCAGATGATGTCCTAACAGGGGGCCAAGATGGTGGGTCATCATCCCCACATGAGGCAGAACAGGACACTCTCCTGTCACCATTCATGCTCTCAAGCATCCATAGAAGGAAAAAGTTCTTTCTGGGGAACTTGAGGTTGCCCCTGTAAACCAGACGCAATGACAATAAAATGCACCAGGGACAGGATATGAAGAGTGGGAGCTGGATGGGTAAAGAAGGGCACTTCACAACAGCCCATTGTAACCCCAGGATGCAGTTTTTACACAGTGTATGGCCACACCATAAAACATAGGGTATGTTTTCAACGATGTTGAACGATTCCCAACAAATTGGGCACTCTAGTCTATCGTTTCTACTTGTGATGGATGAACCTTCATCATCAGAGCAATCTGCATCGCGAGTAGGATTTCCATGATCTTCCTTCGGCCTTGTGTTCCCAACAGTAAAGTTGGATGCAAAGTTCCACATTCTCACCCAGAGAAACAAATTGAACAAAGACAGCAACAACAACGCCCTGGTTACCTGAGAAACCAAATCCAATTAAATAAACAAATAAAAAATACAAACAAACACACTGATAAACAATTAAACACTCAGCGAGAGCTTGAGGGTAAAAAAACAGCAACAACAAACCAAAGATAATCCCGGTTTTCTTACACTATGTTTGGCTCGTGGAAGTCGAAAGGAAAATAAAAGGAAGTGATTTTCTCTCCTATTTCTCACCTAGCGGGAAGGAAATCTGTTTTCCTTCTCTTTAATTCATTTCTTCTCATATTTATTTTTCCTTCCACTTTTCTTTTCTTTTCCTCTCTAACCAAATGAGAAAAACTATTTTCCCTCTTATTTTCTTTTCTTTTCCCTTTCAAAATCCTTGAACCAAACATGTTGTTAGGGTCTGAGGATCAAGATCTACGGATTGGCACCCCTGCAAAACATAGAGGTTGGTTTTGTTAGACTTATGACGCATTGCTGCATCTAGTACCCAAAATTGCATATAAAGTAAGAAGCAAAGGAACTTTAATGTGTCATTTTGATAGCCACCTGCCTAAGCAAACAACAGTTGAAGAATAACAAACACATGCAACTAATAACTGTGAGCAAACAAATAAGGAAATATGAATCCACCACAAAGCACGCGAATGGCTGTCAAGACACAAAGTCAATATCTAAGAGCGTGTTTGGATAATCCATGTGCAATTGAGATTTGGTGTAGTTGTGTGTAGTTACACTGTTTGTCATGTTTGTTTTGCCATATAATCGATGTAACTGAAGGGGTCCAATTGCAATTTTCAATTCCAAGGGGTATGGAATTGATCTAATTGCACACTGCAATTGCAGACTAAAAACAAAATTTGTGTAAAACTACCCCTTGCCAAACAAGCACAAAGTTATTACCCTACAATTACTGGAAACTTCATGTAATTACACAATGATGTAATAGTACTACATAGTAATTACACAACCTAGAAATTAAACTATGTTATCCAAACACACTCTAGAGTCTAGCTCTACCCCGTTAAGTGAATAAAGATGTCCTTTGAAACAACCTCAATGAAGAGCAGTGAGCGACCTGCTTATAATTTCAACAACTGGAACTGTAAGATTTGACAAAGACCTCGTGGTTTTGCACCTAATCAACAGTGCCAAGGAAGAAAACACGTTTCTTTTCATATTGAGCAACGGAAAGAGCTACAATCAGCCTAAAATAAGCACAATTCATCGCCAAAATGTCGAAAAAGAAAGCAAAACAAAGCTCAAACTTCGCCTGATCGAGCACGTTAGTGCCATGGATTCATCGTTTCGGAATCGATCTGCTGAATCAAAGATTCGACACAGAAAAGCAATATATTATATGGGGAAAAAAAGGGCTGAGGAGCTGCTATCTACTACCTGAATTTGCTAGCGCGCAGAAAGAGGATTGGAGAATGAAGGTTCTGGGGCTCGGGCTATGTCAGAAATGCTAATAGATCTGTGCCTTGGTGCAGATTTGGGACAGGCCTAATAAGGTCTTGAGCCATCTGAAGAACGAACGAGAAGAGCTTGAAAGGGAAAGCCACGCCCGGCACCGGCAGCACGCCGTGTTCTTAACCCTTGTTTTAACAAATTTTTTTGTTACTCCAAACCTAAATCTTGTTAGATTTAATCGTATTGTTTAATTCCTGGCCATAAGTTAGTTAGTTTAGATTTGAATTTTAAAAATAAAAGGGACAGTTTTTGGGTAGTTATTTTTGAAAGTTATCGGTAGTTATTTCTAGAAGTTGTATTAGTTAGTAATAGATGTGTTGATTAGTACCAATAGTTGTGTTGGTTGCTGTCTATAAATACTCCAGGGACATAGAATTCCTGTATGTAGTTCACAATAAAAAAAATCAGAACTCTATTCTGCATTTGATTTGTTCTTCTTATTATTTTCCTACAATTGGTATCAGAGCGTGTGCGATCAGCGGCAAGAAAAGGGAGATCTGCCTTGACAACAGATCAAAATCTTTGACAAGATTCTTCCTCGCCTAGGACAAGAATAGCAAGTGGCTAGTTTTTTCCTTTGGCAGAAGCATTCCAA